TTCCGAGATCTGATGAACCTGAGGTTTCTTTTCTAGTGCCACCATTTATGACCTGAAGGATCTTGGGCAAGTTGCCCTAGCCCTTGCAGCCTAAGTTTCTGGTATAAACTGGAGGAAATAACACCTGCCTCATGGGGATGTTGGGAGAATGAAATGAACAARGTTGAAGTCCAGGATCAGGCTGTTTCATACCGTTACTCAGGATGGGCACGGCACAAAGACTCCCAATCAAGGAGTCAGGTGGGGTTGAAATCAGCTCATTTTTACTTGACCAGCCAGCCACATGCCTGGCATGTGGCTTAATTAATCTAGAGAAAAGGGTGCTTTCTTCCAGATTTGCCCAAAGGGGCCACGTGAGCTAGTTAGTGGTGATCCTACCAGTGTGAAATAAACTACTCTGAGGTTCTTTAAGATTCTGCCCCAGGCTGAAAGGAGCCCAGGGATTCAGACTGCTGAGCTGGGTAGCTTCTCTGCTCCTGGGGCTGGAGGAGAGGCCTAGCAGGCCTCTTGTATGACACAGGGATAGCCCTGGCTCCAGTGCTCTGTGGAGTGTCTGTGGGTTGGGCAGAGGTGTTCTAGAAAGCTGAGTGTGTGCGTCTCATCTGTACCAGTCAGTGGTCGCTGGCCCAGAGTATTGTGACCTCCAAGGATGAAGACACCACTCTGGAGAGACTCTGAAGGGGAATCAGGCTAGCAGAGGAGACCACGGGGCAGGTTGTGGGGAAGGGCTGGTGGGAATACAGGGCCAGGCTCTCTGTGGGCTGGAGCCCAAGTTTGAGTGGGATGAGGGGACTCATGTCCAGGGCCACCGGGGGCCCTTCTGTAGGCCTTCGCATTTGGCTTCTCACCTGGTGGAGGCTGTCATCTATAGACTAGGCAGCCAGGGCTGCACAGGGACAGGGACAGGGTGGCTGTGGCCTAGCACCAGCATGAGATTTGGCTACTGGAAGCCAAATGCCATTGGAGCGGAGCTGGGCTCCCTCTAAAGCAGATGGTAGAACTGCGAGAGGCGCATAGGTGATGCTAGGTCCCCTCCCCTTTGAGCTGGGTGGAGGTGGCTTTGCATAACTGAGAGGAGAGAATGTGGTTCACTGACTTGGGAAGCGCGTGTAGTGTAGAAGGTTAGAGAGACTCCCTCTCTCCGACTCCTCACAGGTCAAAGGGAAGCTTGAGACGTTCAGAGGGAGGCCCATGACTTAAAAGCAAAGACCATCTATTAGGGCTTTCTGGTTGTAAAAATAATCATAACCCAGAAATTTATAAAAATATGGAAAAGCATTTTTACAAGAAACCCCATCACCGTCCCACCATGGTTCTTCTGGCTTGGTCACCCCCGGTGGCATCGTGATTTATTTTGGAGACGACAGTGCTGTACCTTGCGTTTGGCACTCTACACTATCACGTGAGCATCTTCCCACGTCAGCACACAAATCCCCCTGAGTGCGCATGGTTTCCTGAGTCTCCATGGTGCTCTGTATCCGGGCCACACGGGGGGTTGCCTGGCTTCATTCAGACCCCATCCTCGGGCGTCCTAGCAGAGGCAGAAGTTTAGCTGACCCACTGTGACAGTACTTCTCTGAATAATTTCTTTGGCTCTGGGGTGTTGGGGCTGTCCCTAGTTTTGTGTTTCCCAAGTCAGACATCTTTAGAGATCAAGCGGGTAGTGCAGCCCACAGTGGGGAAGCCCAGGGGAACAGAGAGGGAAGGAGCTGGTCTCCCTTTTCTAGATGGGAGAAGCAAGGCTCCAGACCCAGGCAGGGAGCAGTGTTGATGGCTTGGCTGAGGTACCACATAGAGAGTTTTCAGGGGACCTGTCATTGCATTGGTCCACTGGGGTAAGATGCAGATACAGAAATGACTCATGAGGGAAAGGGTTTTAAGCCACAAGCAGGGCTGCCTGGGAAGCCTGAGGGCCAGTCAGGAAGCAGAGGAAGCACAGGGTAAATGCAGGCAGGAGCCTTCCAGCTGCAGGAACTGGTGAGGCAAAGTTTGCAGGCTTAGGAATAATATCTTTAGCTCTGGGGTGTTGGGGCTGTCCCTAGTTGCCCAGTACCTGGCCCTGGGGTGATTGGAGCAGGGAACTAGTGGTCCAGAGTGTGGAAGTCCCCCCGAGGAGGTGGCTGGGGCCTGGCTGAGTGTGGGTTGGCTTGCATGTGAAAGGTCCACTGTGGACTCGTTTATTACTATCTCTAGGAACTGACCATCCCTAGCAAGACCCCAGGGTCAAAGCATTGGAAACCCATGGTTAATGCATGGAGTCTGCAGCAGAGACAGGGTGATCAAGGACGTCCCCAGGCCCAGGCAGAACTTGGCATGAGCTTCATCCGCAGGGTGGCAGGGGGAGGTTTACTAATCTTGGCAGAAGGGGGTGTTGCCAGAGCAGATGGTAGAGAAGCTTCCTGAGTTATTCATCCCTGACTCAGMTCTGCCGTCAACCTGCCGAGGGACTGGAAGCGAGTCTCTGACTTCCTGGGCCTCCCTGTGGCATCTGCTGGCAGCACTTGCCCTTTAGTGGCAGGAGAAAGGGGACAGCACGTGTGAGCATTTCTTGGCACTTCTTGAAAGCCAGTCCCTCCCAGAAATGCTCCCCAGTGTCTTAGCTCAGCTCTGCTGCTCGTGCCCGGCACTGTCTTTGCTGATTTTTCAAATGAGGAAATTGAGGCTCAGGGAAGGCACAGGTCTGACGTTAGCTTGCTTAGTTGGATGCCAGGGCTGTGGCGATCTTAGTGTCATCGTTTGGGCTGCTGTAACAAAATACCATAGACTGGGTGGCTTACAGATAATAGGAGTTAACTCCTCACAGTTCTGGAGGCTGAAAGTCCAAGATTCAGGTGAGGGCCTACTTCCTGGTTCTTAGGCAGTACCTTGTCACCTTGTTCTCACCTGATGGAAGGGGAAAAGGTCTACCTTGGGCCTCTTTTATAAGGATAGTAGCTCCAGCCATGAGGCCTCTGCTCCCCTCACCTCCCAAAGGGCTTACCTTCTAAAACCACAAACATTCAGACTATAGCCGTGGCTAATGAGGGATGCAAGTCCAGTTCTTAAAGCTTCCCCTCCTAAGAGCCACCAGACATATGGCACAAGACTGGAGCCATTCTACTGGCTGATTTGGTATATGAGTGATATTGGGGATTCAAGAGAAATGGGGACCCCGTGGGGGCTGGGTGAAAGGAGGCAGGGCAGCATTCTGGAGGATACGGGAAGCTGGCTGGTCAGAGGGAAGATGTTGTCTAGTTCAAACAGATTGCTTTAGGGAGAAGACACAGAGAGGGGAGGTGATTTACCCAAAGTCACACAGCTGGCTTGCAGCCACAGTGGAGATGTGTCTGCAAATCTCCCAGCTCCCTGAGGATTCTAGAATGAGTCTCCTAATTATCTCCAGCATCATTTGCATCTAGAGCTTTTCTTAGCAGCAGGCGGGGATCATGGTTCCAAAGGCTTAGTGACACTGGCTCTGGTTGCAAAAGACGGTGCTTGTGACAAGACACCAGACCTCACTTACTGCTGTGTGCCTGGAAAACTACTTGAGACAGAATCAAGGTCATGGACTGGCTTGGTGGCCCCAGGTTGACCCCTTGTTCTCAGTTGCAGACAATAGAATCCATGTCAGTTAGTTAAAGGAGAAAGGGATTTATTAAGGGGACAGCTGGCTCCAAATCTTWGAGAAAACTGAAAAATGGTTCACTTCCAGGAATGGAAAACTGCATTATAACAAGGGGCCATCATGAAAACTGCTGCCCCTGATAAAATCACAAAGGTGCTGCCACTGCTGCAGTTTCCAAGAGCCATGCCATCTGGACCACATTCTCCACCAACAAAACCCATGCCTTGCTACTCTCCATCTTCTCCTGTAACAGCTCTGAAAAGGTCTTGTGCAAATGCTTCTGATTGGTTGAACCTAAATTGTACCCAGGGCCCTAGCTGCAAAGGAGTCTGGGAAATGTAGTCTTTAGCTTTCCTGCCTCTGCTTTAGGGAGAAGACACAGAGAAGGTAGAGAGAGAAATAAAGACATAGTCCTTGTGTTTGAGAGACTTGGCGTTTGGAAGGACCATGGTATTAAAAAAAATATTGCAACACAATGTTATTTGCTCTAATTTAGAGACAGTAGACTGGGAGCCCATGGGTCAGGGTAAGAGAAGGCTTCCTGAAAGTATGAGCATTTGAGCTAGGTGCGGAAGAATCAGTATGAATTTGCCAGTTGAGAAATACAGAGAAGGGAGTTCTAAAACACAAGGGAACCAGAGAGGAAAAGGTGAGTTTGATATAGACCCTGTGGTGGCTGTGACCTGTCTGGAGCCAGCTGGTGCAGAAAAAGCTCAACTCCTCTGCAGGTGGCCCTCGGCCAAGCCTCAGGCCTTCCCTGCACTTACAGTGTGACCTGGGCCTCTGTTTAGCCTCAGTGTTCTCAGCTGCCAAATRGGGAGAAAGAAACATCAGCCTCAGCTGCCTCACAGAGGGGAGCACACAGGGAGTGAGTGGAGAGAAATGGAAATGCTCCCTAAGTAGGAAAAAGGCAGCAGACATCAGCCCTGCCTGTGGCTGTGTTGAAGGACATTGTCCCAGAAGGAGAGAGGGAAATGGGGTCAGGAAGGGCGGGTGGCTGCTGGCGGGCTGGCTCCCTGCCGGCCTCCCAGGGCTGCTGCCTCCTGGCCTCTCATCTTTGTCTGATCCCAGTACATAGCGTCTCTCCTCTAGTTCCTCCTTCACAGCCACAAACTTGGAACCAGACCTACTACTGCATGTCACGGCTGAAATGGGTTCTTGCTACTGTAGGTGCTTCTAGACCCAGGGCAGCAGAGTGCTCTCAGTAACTGACCACCCTCCTGGAACCCACCCCCAGTCCCAGGTCCTCTGCTGCGGTGGGGCTGATTGGCTTTATTTGTTTGACTGGGACAGACCCCTCCCACTCCCCCACCCCCTGCCTCCCTTGGCAGTTCTTGGTAGGCCCGGAAAGCCTGGCTTGCTTCTCTGTGTAACCTCTGTCCCTGTTGGTCCTCAGGTACTTTGAATTTTACGAGGGGCCTTTTGAATATAACTCCACAAGATGCCTGGAGCTGAGGCACGAGATACTGGAAGTGAAGGTGCTCTCCATGTGAGTGTGGTGGCCGGGTGGAGGGCGCAGGAGCATGCGGAGCTGGGGCAGGGCTGGGACCGGGTGGGGACAAGGACAAGGAAATGCAAGGCAGATCATGGGGAGAAAAAAATTAGGTCTCCTTTCCCGAGGGCACGGGCATTTGGAAGGCCCTGGAAGCTGGTTCTTGACAGAAGGCCAGGTTGGCAGGGTCACCTCTGATGACTTGGGTGTTAAGTCCTCAGCTCAGTTACAGCCTTCTTGATTATCATCGCCGGGCTCTCGTGTAGAAATAGAAGAGGGCACCTGAGTGACTCACCTGAAATTCGGCACTTTGCACCACAGGGTCAGGCCCTCTTACTGTCGCATTTTTAAATTGAAGTTTCATTAAGTCTTGATTTTTCAATTATTTAAATGATTCAACCTTCAAGGTMCAGGGAAATGCTGCCCTCTCCCAGCCATGAGCCCTCCCCAGGGGCCCGGCGTGCCCTGTGCATCTATCTGGGGCACATTGGGGCATGAACAAGCACCTGTGTGGGAGACTCTTGAAGTCTGCCTTCTTACACAAATAGTGAAAGAACTGTGCTCCTCTTCCCCCTCCACAATATGTCACCTAGTACCCTCTTATAGCTGTGCAGGRAGCACATTAAATGGTGGCCGTTTCAGTGTGCATGTGCCCGCCTGCCATGAATTCAGCAGAGAGACCCACTTAGAGGAGTTTGTGTCGTATTAATCATGGCAGAATCTGTTTTTATTTATAAACAGTTACTTCTGATGATGGGGTGGATGTTCAAGGCAGGCAGTGTTGGGTTCTCACATGGACTCAAGGTCCCCTGACATGACTTCAGCTACCTTGGCCCATGATGGCACATAGATAGGAGCCAGGCCTCCTTTACCCATTTGATGTGATTCCAGCTAGTGGGGTGATGGGGAGAGCATGGTCTTTGAGCTCAGGCAGACCCAAGTCCAAAGCCAACTCTGAGCCTTATCAGCTCTGTACTGTTGGGCAAACTTACTTAACCTCTCTGAGCCTTTCCTTGCCTATAAAAATGGGGGATAGCATTATCTACCTTTTAAGGGTTGCTATTGATCCGCTGAAATGACGAACATGGAAATGGGTGATCCAGAGGTCTGCATGCACAGTGGCCCACATGATAGGTGCTCAGCTGATGCTCATGCTTGACTTGCTTTCCTTCCTCCACTTCCTGTGAAGTCAGCAGCAGTTTTTCTGGCCTGTCCTGTACAGAGACTGTGCTATCAACAAATGCCTTAGACAATCAACTTGTAAAGAAAAAAGGTCTCAGTTCGTGGCCAAGTGGCTCCTTTGCTTTGGAGCCTATGGTGAGCCAGCACAGTGTGGCAGGAGCTGTGTTGAGTAAAGCCACTCACTCATGGGTTCCACTTCCCCTCTGAGGGCACACCTCCAATTACCTAGAGACCTCTCACTAGGCCCCACCTCTTAAGTGCTCCACAGGGTGCGCCTCCTGATAGCACCACTCTGCTGAACAAGCCTTCAACACACGGGCCTTGGGGGACATTTCAGATGCAAACTATAAACTAAGCCCAAGAGTGAGGCCAAATGTCCAGCTGGCATTGTCTGGGTTATTTATGGCCCCTGCATTCGCCAGTTGTCTGTGTTCCCTCCCTGGGGTGAATCCCTGAGGTAATCCACCTCTCATGAGTGCCACCCACCCCTGTGGTCCCACCCCTCATGGGGGAAACAGACGTGAATAACTAAGAGGTGACAGTGAATTGGACCTGGGCTAGTGTGAGAAGGGGCTGGCCAGGCAAGGCCTCCCCGAAGGGGATGGCACAGCTGCAGCCTGCATGGTGATAGGTGCTAATTAGGTCAGGAGGTTCCTGGATGGAACATTTGTCTGAGGCCCTGGGCCAGGAGCGAGCCTGTGTCCCTGCCCTGAAGGACCAGGGCAGCTTGAGCGGTCAGCTGCGCAGCGGGAGGGGCCTGCTGTGTGGACCCACACCTGGGATTTTGTCTTTATCCAGGGACCCTGGGTGCCCATGGCAGGGTTTAAGCAGGGCACAGGAGTTGTTGGGAAGCACTGTCCAGCAGCTGTGATTTAGTGGCAAAGACCACCAGACTTCAGTCAGGGCCCGTGAGCAGAGAGCCCCTGTCTTTCCTCAGAATTCAAACATTCCAGGCCTTTGCACTTGGGTGGAAATCCAAAGCATATCTCAGCGTTTTCAAAGGGAACAGAGTGAATTTTTTAAATTATAAAACATACAGTCTTTGCATGGCTACTCCGAGGTCTGGACAGGGAGAGTGGAGAAGCCCTATAAGCTGGCCTTCCTTCTCTGCAGATCTGTCCTTCCCCATGTGATTCCTATCTACTGGTGTTGGTCCCTGCATCAGGCTGTAGGGACCTCTGTGACAGTCCCACGACGAGGGACCTTAAACAACAGACACCGATTCCTCACAGTGCTTGACCCCGGGGGTGTGAGGGCATGGGGTCAGCAGGGCTGGCTTCCTTCATGGTCTCTCTCCTKGGCTGGCCAGTGGTCACCCTGTCCCCGTGTCCTCACATGGCTGACCCTTGGTCTGTGTCTTGCGTCCTCTCCTCTTCTTAGAAGGACACTAGTCACATTGGGGTTCACCCTGATGACTTCATTTTGCCTTAATGACCTCTTTAAAGACCCTTTCTCCAAATACAGTCACACAGTGGGGTACTAGAGGTTATCGCTGCAACTCATGGGTTGTGGAGGGACACAACTCAGCTAGTAACAGTCCCCATCACAGCTGATATCTGGGGACCAGATGAGAGATGACCTGGGCCCTCTGATTTGAGCCTAAATGCAAATTTTATGGAGTGTGATGGACAGCCTCCTATTTTCCCACATCTGCCCTCCTGCTGTCCCTGGTCCTGGCTTTCATTAGGGGTGTCTGGTGGCATTTGTTCTCACATTTGCCTTTGGGGAACCTTCTCTAGTCCCCCAGGGCTGAGTTCCTGAGATAAGTAGCCATCTCRGGCGGTGACTGCAGGTCTAGCTGTGCCTTTCATGGCCTGTCTCTTCCAGGGTAGCTGCTCTCTCTGTGGTTCCAAGCCCCGGGGGTCTGAGAGGAGAGGCGAAGCCCAGGCCATTCATGAAGAATCAGTGCATGTGCCCAGGGGATGCCAGGGATCCGCAAGCCCCGTGCCTTMCTTCCTGAGCCTCCAAGCTGAGGGTCTTCCGGTCCTCCCTGGATGAAATCAGAGAAGCCCAGAGGCTGGCCTCTGATCTGAGCAGCTCTGACATCATCTGGGGACCCACAGGCTTTGCTGGGCTCCGGCTCAGCTCCATGACCTGGACTTATGAACGACTGGCCCCGAGTCATCGGGAAAAGGTCACGTCCCCATCTGTGGAGGGAGACYGCTGGACAGACACACTCATGTCCCTTCAGGCGCACACAATGTCAGCTGGTGCTGTCTGAGGAGACAGGGAGATCTGTGATTCATCTGGGTATAATTTTGATGCAAAATTGCTCAAATCGATGGCAAAAATCAGTCAACCAGAAAATTCCCACATGAGAAACGCCTCACTCCCCGACACTGTCAGATGCAGGAGGAGTTATTCTGTGATGAATTGTTATGAAAATACATGGTTGCTAATTCTTGTTCAAGTTATTTATGCTTGATTTTAGTCATTCTAGTACCTCTTTATTTTTAAATAAAAATATTCAGTTGCTGCCTGCCCTCATATCCAGCTGGCGGCCATGCAGGAGAACTCTCAGCTGGCCTCTCCACTGCCCTTGGCCCATCTTTCCAGGGTCTGGGACTCGGTGCTGAGCTCAGTAATGAGGCCAGGAGAGAAGCTGGGAGCCACAGGCACTGGGCAGATGCCCGCCGTCTGGGCTGGGAGCTGCTTCATGCCCCTGGAAGCTGTCTCAGGGCAGCGTTCACAAGTCCACTGCACTGGGGCTCCTCGAGAGCAGAACCTGAGCCTAGGCAGCTCTGAGATCAACCTGCACAGGTCCAGGACACACCTAGGAAATGAATGAGTGGGTGAAGGAAGAGGGTGAGATCTGGTGCAAACAGGAGGCCGTGGAAGAAAAGGGGAGAACAAAGACGCATAATGAGATGATCATCTCAGCTCATGTGATCTCTGCCTCCTGCCCAAGAAACCTCCAGTGCACAGAGACTCACAATAATAAAAAGTCCCAGTGCCCTGCATCATGCCTTCTCACCTAAGCTACTCCTTCCGATTCTCAGCTGTCTCCTCTGGTAATGACCTCTCACTACCCTGCACATGCTGTTTCCTGTCTTCACCGATTCCATGCTTCAGTGGGTGAGGATTCTAGCCCTGGGGGACTAGAGAAGGTTCCTCAAAGGCAAATGTGAGAACAAATGCCACCAGATACCCCCAATGAAAGCTATGATCAGGGACAGCAGGTGGGCAGATGTGGGGAAATAGGAGGCTGTCCATCACACTCCATAAAATTTGCATTTAGGCTCAAATCAGAGGGCCCAGGTTATCTCTCATCTGGTCTCCAGGCCCAGGCCCCTCCCAACACTTCCCCAGTTGAAGGGCGCTGTATTTGGGACATGGTTTGTGCCCCCAGGGTTCATATGTTGAAGCTTTGGACTTCAAAGAGGCAATATTGAGGCAGTGGAATTTTTTTAAAACTGAAGCCTAGTGGGAGAAAGTTAAGCTAAATAAGTCTTTTCCTTAGAAGAACTAGCCTCAGGTATTTTGTTATAGCAACAGAAAATAGACTAATAGCCTTTGTAGTTCCTCTATGTAGAGATTACCTAAGTAATGACTTTCCCCCAGGATGTTGAAGACCTTCACCATCTTCTAGCGCGTGGTTACATGAGAAGCATGAGAATGGCTGTTCCAGGCTATCTGGTTTCTTTCTTTCTTTTTTGCCTYTGGGATCTTGTTAGCTCAGGCCACTTCTGAATGTCCAATGACATTCTCATTGTCCAGTTGGACCTCTTCATCTGAGCTCATGTCCAAACTATTTGTGTGTGTGTGTGTGTGTGTGTGTGTGTGTGTGTGTCTCCAAACTCTGGAACTTGCTCTTG